AGGAACAGCTCTTAATCAATTATTTGAAAATTTATGGATAAGTATTCCAGCTTTCTTACCCCTTGCGTGGGCTAACCCTAAAGTGTGTATTCTACACAGTGAGGGAGGGCATAGATTGAGAAGTTTTGTGAAGGCAGCACAAGTGGATAAAAAATGTCATCTTAACTGAGTCTTGAAGAAATAAACCAGCTATCTTATGAGTAGCAGTTTTATAGACCATGCTAAATTGGTACACAGATAACATTCCCCAAACCAAAAACAAACACCTTGACTATAGGAGTAGCAGAAAGAGGAGTTTAAGTGGACCAGCTCTGTAGCCAAAGAGCCTGACTCCATCATTTACTAGCTGTGTGACCATGGAGAAGTTACTTAATCTCTCTGAGCCTTACTTTACTTATCTATAAAATGTATGCACTGTCTAAGGAAATTATGAGGATTAGATGAGTTACTATGTGCAAAGCACTTAGAGCAGTCTGTGGGATATCTGACTACTCAATAAAATTAAGATTATTATTTTTAATATAAAGGTGGCAGTTTTTTTTTTTTTCCTTCTACTCCACTGTAATGGTTTAATAAATTTTTATTTTATTTTAAGGGCTAGAAAAGTACATGGCATAACAGGTACGTTCCTAGAACCTTCACAGTGGCTATAGTTTAGTAGCCTCGGTCCTCCCTCCAAGTGTTTGATGATTACTGGGGAGATTTGTCAATACAAATATATTTTCTTTGGACTCGTTATAGTCTCCTTTGGTAATTTTGGGCACATTTGTGGCTTCAGTTACCATGTGTATTTTGATAACTTCCAATCTATAATTCTTCCCCTGACTGAACTTCAGACTTGTATATCTAACTGCTTACTAGATGTCTCCCGACATCTCAAACTCAACAGACAGAGCTGAACTCATGATCACACTTGCAGACCTGGTCTTCCTCCTCTCAGGTGATCAGTCTCAGTTGTGACGTGAGGGCCAGGATTGATTCAGTTGACTAATTGACTGGACTGGTACTTATTTCCTCATAAATCCATTACAAATTAGAAAGGACGACTTTACAAAATAGAGAAGAACCATTCTTTAGCCAAGGATAAATAAAAAGCCATGCTTCCCATCTAGAATATTCAACAAGCTAGCTAGGAGATTCCCTACTTAAAATCATGATGTCACCATCCACCTAGCCACTGAAGCCAGGAACCTGAGGGTCATCTTAGATTTCTCCTCTTACTCACTCTCTCATTACCCTCAACTTTGTTTCTATAATAAATCATCTCGTTTTTGCGTTTTTAATCTATAAAAAATCTTTAAATACATGTTGAGTTTCTCTTGCCCAACTTTATATTCTCAGCTTCAGGTGTCCTTCATTTCTCACTTGGAATATTTCCACTGCTTCCAAGCCAATCTTCCGACCTTTGGCTTTGGCTTAAGGCCCTCCCTCACATGGTTGTCTGATGACCTCTTGGAATGCAAATCTGATCAAGTTTCTACCCCTGATCAACTGGCTTGAATGGTTCCTCATGACGTACAGTATGAGTTAAAGGCCTTATGTGACCCTGCCTTTATCACTCCAGCTTCCTTTACAGCCTCTGTTGACTTCACACTTCCTGTTTCAATAATACTGAACTATTGTATGTATTTTCCCTTTCAGGTCATACTGTTTCATGACTTTGCAATTTTGCTTGTGCCCATAATGATCCTCTCTACACAACTCCTACTCGTCCTTCAAGGAGAATCTCAGGTAGCATCTCTCCAGGAAGGGCTAGGTGAGAGGACTATGTGCTCCCATGGATCCCCGGTACACACTTCATCCAGTTATTTACTGCACTGTATTGACAAGACATACTGTCTCCCGCCAACTATGTGGTAAACATCTCAAAGTCAGGGGTTTTCTGTCTTGTATCCCTAGCATCATACTTGAATCATTCACAATAAATATTTAGGGAATGAGGTTAAGGAAAATGTCTACTGCAAAGGTAAATCAGAGGTTCTCAACACTGGCTGTATATAGGAAACATCTAGGGATCTGTTAAAAATACAGATGCCAATGATCATCCCAGTCCATTTAAATCAGGAGCTCTGGAAGGGGGGCCTGGGCATTTAGACATTTAAAACTCAAGTGACAATGAGCAGGTGAGGCTGGGAACCAATTGGTTAGATGATCACTGGGCAAGGATTTGGTGAATGGTATGCTACAGAAGAAGGATGGAAATGATGCTTCAGGCACCTTTCGTTCATGAAATTCTATCAGACGATTGCTAGAATTATGCTTATTACTGGTTAATTTCCCCAACATATTCTCTGCACATTATAAAGGTTGTTTTGCATGCAGGTAACATACTTGACCAGCCAGGAACTGTGAGTCACCCCATAACATTAATGTTCTTCAAAGAGCACCCACCACAAACACACATATATTTATTTAAAATAATGTAAGAAAACAGTAGCAAGGGGAAGAAAGAGAGGAATGGATTTTAGATGCTTTATACATATACCATATGCATATATGCATATCCATATACCATAATAGGGAATGAAGTCTCAAATGTAAATATGTCCTGGTGCTCTTGAAATGCCACTTTTGTAATATTCAAACCTATTTCTGTCTTCTTGTCTAGGATGATGATGGTGCTGGGCAGTGGATTTGCTTTTTCTTTTATAATATCTGTGTCTACTGTAACAGAAAGGCAGTGCCACATCTTGATTTTAGAAGCTTTTACAATTAACAAGACAAGGTATAATTTCTACATGGAATAAGAAAGGCCGGATTGGGATAGTAGTACTGTGGGAGTACTAAGTAACTCTAGTTTATAATTTGCCAATTAAGTGTGCTTTCTCAGAAAAGGAATAAGTTTCAAAAATCAACATAAGAACAGTGAAAAAGAGAAGGAACTCCTTTTTAAATGATCATCTAAATGTTAGGAGAAAAATACTGTAGAGTCTTGTAGTCTCAAAACTAATATTCAAACTCTCAATCTTTTTGATTAAAAAAAGTTTAATGAGCTGTAAAATAAATACACTTCCATTAAATATTAAATAAATTATTTACAACTTGAAAAAATACTTTTTATCTGCATGCATCTTTATGTACAGAAATAAGAGATCATAAAAACTGACAATTGAAAGTTTAAAACCATCAGAACAAAAAGGTTCTGTTTTCTTGTGATCCACTGAAAAGAGACACCAACTCATCACTCATGGTTGCGACCTGACAGCGACTCCGATCTGATACCCTGTTAGAAAATAAAATAAAGTCTTAAGAGATAACCTCAACTCCAATATAGCTTTAAGAAAATGTCAAAGAATAATCAGGAATCAAAATTTCTGTCATCTTTTTTCTAAGATGTCTTATGAAAAATGCTAAGAGGTTTTCAGAGACAAACTATCACTTTGACTCGAATCCCCCTTTCACACCTGCTTTGGTTATAGCCTACTCAAGTAGAAGAATGCTCATCTCAAACCTGTCCATCGATTTCTGCTTTATCAAAAAGCAACAACAGTCATGAGAAATAGTTTTCCTAACCAAATCTATGCAGTGGACATAATTAAAACAAAGATTAAGTGGCTTGGTGTATTTATGATATACAGTTAATTTAAGATAATTAGTACCAAGGGCATAATAATAGTAGCTACCAGTTAATAGGCAACCACTATGTGCCAGCACAGCATATTCCTTTTTCTAAAATCATTCTGGGACCTACTTTGAAAAATCTCAGTTGTGCTAAACAATCAAAAATCCACCCTTATTCATGTTGGTGGTCTTAGCTTCAGCACATTAAGTCAATACAGTGATAAATTTTGATGCAATAAGTACTAAGCATAGCATTGGCATAGATCATTATTCATTTCAAGAGTTTTGGGCTAATTCTGTCATAGGCTCAGAACATAAGACCTGCGCTTAACCAATGCTAAATGTAGTGGTTCTCCAAGCATCTAGAGTGTCAATTAAAAATGGAAATACTGATTCAGTGGAGTTAGGACTTGGTTTAGGAATATGCATATTTAACAAGCACCTCAAGTAATTCTTAAACCCATTGAAGGTAGAAAATCAACGACTTAAGGATGTGACATCTTTCCTGAATGTCTGAGGGAGTGGAATTTCTTCTTCTGATTGAATTTAAGTGTGTCCTTGATCTCTCTGCTCCTCTCTTCCTCTGGAAGTTTGCTTCATTAGCTGTTCACCTTAGTTATCAATGAAATATCCCTCTCCGTATCTTTCTTACCTCCTCCTTAGAACATGTTCAGCTCTCCCTCTTTACAAAATAATTAAAAATAAAAACTACAGTATATACTCTAACCAAGCTATCTCTCAAATTTGTACCCCTTCTCCCTTCCCACTTCCTTTCTTTAAGAGGATATTTAACCTGCTGTCTCCACTTCCTCACATTTGTAGTTCAGCCACCCTGACTTTGGCTCTCCACCATGTAAGCTCAACCTATCATTTCAACCTTATCTCCCCCAACACCCATCTGAACTAGGCCATTTTTGACAAGTTTCTTAAATGATCTAGTCCATCTCACAGTATTAATCTTCCTTTCCCTTCATAATTGCTTGTCCCAGTCTCATCATTCCTTTGAGGCTCACTTCCAATGCTACCCTATATACACATCCCTTCCTGCTCCCTAAATGCATCCCACTGGATTCTTTCTATCCTTCACTGGAAAACACCTCATATTCCCTTGGTTCCTTTCTTACAACACGTATTTTACTTCCCCTAGTATTCTAGTTCCTTATACTATTTTCTATCTACTAAACACCAAGTTCTTTGAGAAGAGGATCTGTGTCTCTCTCCTCTTTATATCTCTTATAATACTAAGGACATAGTCCTTTCTCAATACTGAACTCCATCTCGTGCTCAAAGAATAACACTTTCATGTAGCCAATGTTCATAGCATCCATAACGAAGAACACTTACTTTCCTCATTTTTCTTGAGATAACAGATGTTATATTTTTCAAAATGATAGATATGATCTAAAGATATCTTTTAAAACTCAGACCTGTAATGTGGCCTCCAGTCATGCTACGGCATGTGCATTTCCACTTTCTTGTCGGAGTTTCTTTCGCTCTTCAGCTTCTCCCTCGCAGTCCCTGAAGTATCGTTTCCGAAGCCTTTAGACAACAAGACACTCCGCTGTCATCAAAGCTCTATTCATCCACATATCGACTGGGATTTTCATCAGTAAGGGAATTCTTTTTCGTTAACTCTTATAAGTCATTACACATTGTACTCTACACCAAACCCAAACTCAAACCCAGCTGTAAGATATTACCGATGTTCTTTTTAGGGGGATGTTTATGGTGACCTTATTTAAACATATTTCCAGAGTACTGAGATTTAAATTAATGTGCCTTGAGATGCAAACTTTCAGAAAGCACAGAACACATCCATATGTGTGTTGTTCTGTTTTGTTTCAACACTTAGCACAGCTGCCATGCACAAGTAGAGGAAGAGGTATGTAGCATAATTTTACCACAGAAGGACTTTATGCTTGCACAAACTAATTTAATGATTAGAATTTTTTTAAAGAGGCTTCAAAACAAGTTGGGTTGTATTCATTTCTAAATATGATAAATACTTCCTTCTAGTTTTATTTATTGCTACTTTCTATTAAAAAAACCTCAATGGTTTAAAAATGTCTTTGTGTTGTAGAAGCAATTCTACTTTTAGTAGGTCTTTAATCCATCTACAAACTTTATTATTAAAATCATAAAAACTTTTGTTGTGATGGTTGGGAAAAAATCCAATTATGAAAAAACAGCAATTGTGGCTTAGGATAGTGCTTGTTATGTATTTCAAATACAAGGAGAATATGGGAGAAAAGAAGAAAAGTCACTGCTCTATTTTAAGAGTGCCAAGATGACAAAGTTTTTCCTCACTTTTCCAAAGGATTATTAAATATTTCAACTTGAATAATTACAAGTTTAAATAATTATTTCAAAACATCTTCCCTAACTGGCAATTCTTTCCTCTATCCTTCTATGTCAAATAATAATGGTTTGTCTGAGGGTATTGTTCCTAAACACATTTGCAAATCTCACTTGAGGTACTAACAGATCAAAATAATTTCTAGGGTGTGCAAAACAAATTTAAACCACACATCAAACTTTATGTGCATCATAAAACAGTTTTTTATGTGTCATTTTTTCATTATGTGATCTGCATTTAAAATAACAGTAAACAATGGTAGAAGATAACCCCTTGTTTCTTGAATGGCAGGAGTGGTAGATCATGTACACCATCCGGTTGTTAAAGTAATTGACCAAGACCTAAAATTAGAATAATGAGTCTATTGCTTTTCCCAAGCGCTAGTAGCACTTGAGTCATTATAGAGCCATTCACGCCCTCCCCCAACTTTCTTAATTCACTGACTTCTGTTTGACAGACAACGCCATTTTGACATACCTACCAGTGCCTACAACCTGGAACAGTCTAGTCCTAACATTCATTGGTCATGAAGTGAAGTATGTGATCTGTTATTGTGAGCACAGGGTAGATATTGCAGGAGTGGAACAGTAATAGAATTGTCCCTCCTTCCTACGCCATGCCATATGGAGGAAACTTTTTTTTTCTTTAACAATTGGGTTCCCATATTGCATATGACAGGAACAAAATAGGCATAAGCTCTAAGGAAATTGGTACCACGGTATGAAATTCCCAACTCAGAATTTTACTTTCTAATAGGAGCAAAAGACACATCTTTTCTTGGCTCCTAGTTTGAAGATCTTTGTGATTTTTAGTACCAAAGCAGTATCTCGGACAACCTATGATGAACCAGGCCTTAATTAGCTTCTGGAAGTCTTGCTTGAGCTGAAGATATTCATAACAGATACCAACGCTCTGAGATTTGGAAGCAGCCATGAGTAGAAACATGACATGAAACAACCATCAGTTTTTTTTGTTTTGGTGAGGAAGATTGGCCCTGAGCTAACACCTGTTGCCAATCTTCCTCTTTTTGCTTGACATCAATTTTTAAGTTCAAAAAATTTCTAGATTTTCTGTAAAAGGGCTTTACATATTAAGTATTAGTGGTCAAAGTAATACAAATTTTGACCATATTCTGTGATCTTTGTCAATAAAGTGTAAAGATATGACCAAAGATCACGTGCCACCAATACAATAATTCATCTAAAATAGGATAGTACATTGTGATAGAAACACAGAAAAAAAATGACCTGGCATTATTTTACTAGGAATTTTTAAGTTATACATACTTACAGGATTGTAATAACAACAGCAATTGCTGTGAAGCTCACAGCAGAGACAAAGGCAGCTATGGCTGCTAAAGCAATTTTTGATAAATCACTGTCAATCAGGCTATGAGTCTTCATGGACTTTTCCCCACACCGTTCACCAAAGTAATCCTGATGACATCTGTAAACAACCCACATTCAAAAATATAATAACTGAAAGCATTCCATATGTTTCAGGTTTACTTTTTAGGTCACAAATAGTCATTTAATTCTAATATTAAAAAAAAAAGTCATGCCATATATTTGTATTTCAAAATCATGAGACAGAATGCATTCAAGCCAAGGATCTATTAGTATAAGCACAAGGTGAGATTAGTTTGGGTGTGATATTCCAAGAAGACACACCTTTTCATTTTTTGTGTTCCTATTATGACCAACTGGTGAGTTCAATGACTTGTTAGGCAGCTAATACATTCCACCATCATTCAATGTGCTATTGGCTTTTTGGTGGGGAGGAGGATAAAACAACATTATGTGAAAAATATCTTTAGGTTCTTTTTAAAAAATAGGTTTTGTAAAGTATATGTTGTACAATGATGGTTTATACCAGGGGTCAGCAAACTACAGCCCATGGATCAAATCTGGCCATTTGCCAGGGTTTTTATTACAGTGTACAAGCCAAGAACGTTTTACATTTTTAAATGGTTACATTTTCACTGGTTATATAAGTACATACACAATGTTGACCCAGAAAGCCTAAAATATTTACTATCTGGTCCTTTAAGAAAAAGTTTGCTGACCCTTGGTTTATACATTGGAAAAATAAATGGTTTTCTGCAGCCAGGAGTTTCAGACATGGTGTTAGAAATATAGCATTCTATTTAATTTAGGAAAACTTACATGCATGTTGCTGCTTTCAAGGGCTCTATATATTTGCATTCTCCATGAATGCAGAAATTTTGGAATTCTGCATCACACAGATTTTTCTTCTTTTTGTTTCTTCTATTTTTTCCATTTTTGCCTCCCTTTTTCTTTCTTTTGGGTCTATCTGAAGTCTTTTCACTCTCTGTTTTGTTTTTCTTGGGCTTAACTACCTGTTCAACTAAAAAAAACAAAAAAACAAGACATTGACAACAGTCTCTTCATCTTGAATATCATTTTGGAGACATGAGAGAAAGAATTCGTAGCAATGAGAGCTCATGGGACAACGGCTGTATTCATCTCAATATTTAACACAATTCACACACAATAATTGGGCAAAGAAAATATCTGTATTTCGTAGCACTTAAAAATCTGAACCTTTTTGTTATTTTATTAGCTTAGAAATATATTTTGAACTTATTTGTATCAGTATTATTATTATTGATAAAAGGAGTTAGCTGTCTAAGAAAATCCATGAAATATTTTAAACATTTCTTGAATTACTAATACAAACCAAGTTCTTAGTAATGAGCATTAATTTAATTAAACCCAAATCACAGTTGAATGTATTGTTATCGAGATGATGTAGCTGAGGAAACTGAAGTTGAGTGCAGACAAGTAACTTGCCCTATGACACACAGCTAGAAAATGGCAGTGCTGGGATGGTAATGTTTGTTATTCCCCCACTGTACTAGGTTTTCTCTGGAAAAGGTCAATGCCATTGATTAAAGTGGGACTTGGGTATATTTGTTGATTTTATTTATTCATATTGGTCTTGTGCTCTCTCTCATAATTGGGAATTAGTGTGTACTGCTTGAGGGTGGAAAAAACTGAGAATTATACATTAGAGTTGATCAATGTTCTCCAGCTCCCAGATTACAACAGATTATAATTAATCGATACCTTCCAGGGGGCTCGTTTCTGTAGTCAATTTATTTGAAAAAACAGAAATCCAGAAATATTTGATGCTTGATGCTTTAGAGATTCACCTTAACTCTTCAGATCCACAGAAACATTTGTTCAGTGTTACAGTTATGCAGGGTATAGCCTACCCAAGTGCTGAACATAGGAAGGAGGAGTTTCCACGTTAGAGCTGTGTGTTTTGTTATACTAATCCATGAACTGGTTTATCTGAGCAAGTATTTAGCAAACAGAGCCCAGTGAAAAGAGGAAAATACCATAATGTCATAATACCACTAACCATAATGGCCCTGTAGCACCCATTAAACAGAAAACATTAGAAACATAAGGAAAGGTATCAAAGATAGAACCCTGTGATTAAGAAACGACAAATGAATATTATGAATATTTTAGCAGGTTATTATAACAACATTAACAATAGTCAAATTAGGAGCAATGTTTAATAGGTGGTTATGCCATTTTTATACTGAAACTTTCCTCTGATGATAAAAAAGTACCACAAGTTAGAATAAGTCCTCTAATAGAAACATTTTAAATGGCTATTTCTGCACTTTATCAGATCTATTACAAATTTTAGACAGAGATGAATAGTCACTATGCTGAAGTGCTACAATAGATATTAACCCCATGGGTTTTACAGCCTTTCAAAGGAGTTCAACCAACTCTATTTCACACTGCATTGCAGTTGTAAGCACTAGCCATTTTCACTACTAACAATTTATTTGGCCTTTTCAGACGTTAACAACTTGAAATATCTTTAAGAGAACAGTTTCTAGAATCTTGATGGTCTAATCTCATCCCTCTAAAAATAAAAATTATAAATGGACCCCTTGCCCACCTTACTTAAAGCACAAGTTCTGAAGCAAGGGAGTAAAAAGTGAAGTGTTCAGGAAAGCTTTTCCCACATGCCATTTAACCCAGTCACTGTCCCTATGGTATCACCTGCGCTCCCTTCACCAGTTCTGGGAGCCAGCCAGAGGGAGAGGAGTCAAGGAAATGAAGGTCAGGAGAGAAAGGGCCTTATGCTCTGCCTCCATAGTGGATGCTCCTAGGATATGTGGATCTGATTTACTGATGACCTCGTCTGCTCAAACTCCAAAGTAATATGAGGGTAATGAACAACACTTACCTCTTACTTTGGTACCCTCATTTTAAGCAAATGCTCTTTTTTAAAGATCAGATAACAGTAAAAGAGAAGAAAATTATGGGTCACTATTATTTAACTGACAAATGGGATTCGGGATTAAATCATAATTTTAGCAATATAAAATCCATGCATATTTGTCCTTTAATATTTCCAGAAGGTTATACTATTATTATAATCACTAGAATCAGCAGTCTCTCAACACCCAGTACTTAAAGGCTAAAAGTCCAATTGCTCCTTTCCCATTACTTTTTTCTGTTCCCTTATTTGTGTTAAAATGCAATTACTTAGGGAAGAGTGGTGGTGAGGAGTAGATACAAAAGCTAAGATAAAATGTAGGTAGCACTGACTGCTGTCTACACCCCTCTCTCAGGATGGAGTTTATGTCATGTGGCACAGTGGGAAAGAAACACAGTATCTGGAGCCAAACAGATTAGGGTTCTCATTATGGCTCAGCCGCTTGCTGGATGTGGAACTTTGCACAAAACACTTAATCATTTTGAGCTTCAATTATCACATCTGTAAAAGGATAATTCCCACTTTGTAAAGTTGTTGTGAAGATTAGACTTAACAGACCTAAAACATTTGTTAGAGCTCCAGACATAGGATGTGCCCACATATGCCTTTCCGTCTCTGTTCGTAGCTTACCCAGGGGGTATGCAGCAGACGCACACACAAGACAGCCACTAGAAGATGCAAGGAATGGCTTTTCTTTTGAAGCAGTTCGCTCATCCACACACATCTCACAGGCTACATTTTCACCTTATCCTCTACTCACCTCTGACTGACTCATCTACGATGTAGCCAGATATGTGTGGTTCGTTATCATACTCTTCTGCATAGTCATAGTCGATCCCCAGGGACAGTTCGCTACCAGAAGGCGTTTCACTCACAGGGGAAATCTTGCTTCCTGGGGTCACCTCAAATCCATCAGCACTGCGGTCCCCAGAAGATGGTTCCCCTTTCCCAGAGTAAGTGTCATTGACGTCCAATCCAGCAGCAAAATGGGCTGTGGGAGAAAAAAGAAGAGAAAAACAGAAAAGGTAAAGCAGAGAGCCTTTCTCATCAGCCAGCTGAGTTCAGGAGAAATATTTACCTTCTGATATCAAAGCAGCTATTGCACATGTGCTATTGTTTGTGATTGAGTCACTTACGAAAGCAACTCCACACTTTGCCAAGGAGCAAACTCAGCTGTTCCAATTACAGAGCTTCTTTCATCAAGGTTTCTTTTCCACAGATAGTCTACATTAATTTCCACATCAAAAAAAAAAAAAAACTGCCAAATAGGCAAATTAATATAATTATTTAACGGGTAATGTCTAAATATTCCCATCACTTCACATATCAAATGCATTTTGTGTTTTCTAGAATGCTACCTGTCCCATTCTAGTAGACAGGTTCTAGATATAAGTATCAGATTTTCTTAACACGTGCTCACGTTTTAAAAAGATTACATATATAAAATGCAAAACGTAATGTAAATGGTAGTTGATAAGACTGATTCTTATTGGCACTGTTTCGCTATCATTGTTCTGACATACAGAAGAAGCCAGAGACTAGGTAAGATCTGGGGCCCAGAGTTTCAAGCCCCTGTTTTATCTTTGAGGTCTCACTAAAACAGCCTCAGATCGGTGCTTCTAACTTCTCCCTGGGACACTGTGAGGCCCTCCAGGAAGGCAAAGACAAGATCACTAGACAGAGGAGATGGAGAATTTAGGCAGGAGGCAGCACTGCTGGGTCCAGGACTCAATTCCTCTGCTCTAAGATCTGCGGGAATCACTTTGCCCCTCTGAACCTCGGTTTCTTTTTCTGTAAAACGAAGGGTTTGGATCACAGGATCTCTCAACTCTCCTCCAGCTGGACTAAAGTACAAGTACAGGGATTCTCCCGGCACCCTCCTCCTGGACTGGAACGTCTGAGACACCTACCCGTTTTTCTCTTTCTCCCAGTGAGTAACAGGGAGATACCCTGATCACCCCCCGTCCCCCGCGGGACAGAGTTGGGGGCGCCAAAAGGCTTTTTTTTTTTTGTTTTTTGTGTATGGTGTTTTGGGAGAAGCAGCAGCAACATTCAAGAGGCGCCAGCTTCTGCCCGCCGTGGGAGAAGCGCCGCGCAGCTCAGAGCGGGGATGTCCTCACCTGAGCGGAGGATCAAGAGCCACAGCACCACCGGCGCCGGCGGCAGCAGCGGGGCTCTCATTGGTCCCTCGGCGCGGCGGCGTCGCGGTCTCTGGGGCAACTCGGCCGGAGCTGCGGGCTGGAGGAGGAGGGGGTGGGAGAGAGGGGACAAGGCGGGGTGTGCGGCTCTGCCCGCAGGCCCGGCCGGGCGCGGGCTGCAGCCCCTGGAGCTCGCCTCCGATCTCTCGGTTCCGACCCGGGCGCAGGCACAAGGTGTGCGAACATTCCGGAGGCGCGGCGCGCACCTGCCGCTTTATAGGCCGGGCGGGGACGAGGCATCGCCCGCGACGTCACGGCCGCCGCGGAGGGTGGAGGCGGGCGGCCGCCCTAGAAGAGGTTACTACCCCAAAACCACACACGGACGGCGGGCGCCCCACCCCCGCGAGCCTACAGAGCCGCTGGGAGGAAATGGAAGTCAAACCCCTCGCTGCGAGCCGGAGAAAGACCCGATCCATAATCGAGGGCGGGGGTGGAGTTGGGGAGCTCCTATCTATCTGACAGGTGCAAGTCTCAGTTTTTCAAACTATCTGAAAAAGCTTGGTATACGCTTTGGTTGATCTTAATATTATAACAGAGATTAAATAGAAAAGTTCCATATTGAGATGTAAAAGTACTTTAGCACCAAGAGTGACCTAACAATGACAGCCAGACGTGTTTAACAAAGGTAAATGAAGTTCATTAAATGACTAGAGAGAGCGCCTCCTAATGAGGAGCTGCTTTGTTTGTGATGGGCGATATCTTACCCAAGGGCCCTTTCGCACCCACTGCTGTGAAGTGGCCAGAATTTCAAACCACCTCCCTCCCCACTTCTTTATGTGGCCCAGGGATCTCATCAAAATTAATATTTGTTGACCACTTATTACTGCCAAACTGTACACTAAAAATATTACCTACACCATCTCACTCAAAAACCTTGCCGGGTAAGCATCATTTTCTCTATTTTACAGGGAGGACAAATGGCAGCTTTACAAAGCAAGGAGGACTTTACACAGCTGGTCATGGTAGAAGCCAGATGGATTTAAATTAATCTGACTCTGAAGTCTCTCTCCTCTCTCATAAAGGAATTTAGACTAAACTAATCTTTAAAAAGAGAGTTTGTGGGGAGAACAATACTTAGCCTCCTAAAGGAGTAGTCTTGACTGGTAGCATATTGGCATTTGGATGAAGGGCGGTGCCCAAGCTTGTGCCTCTCAAATCCTGAGATAAAAGGACCAGCTTCGATGGCCTATTTAGAACCTAGTAGGGTATTTAATCATGACAAGTAGATGAAATGAAGAGGGAAGGAGGCAGCTGCTTAATTTGACTTAACTTTGATGCAGAGACGACTCTAGAACTGGATTTTTCTTGCCTTAAGAGAAAAAAGCATTGTTCTAAGTGTTTTCTTGTCCTGAGGATACATGTCTCTTCTCTGATTGTTCTAGTGAAACAGCCTTTTTAGGAATGTGGGTCATAGTGGATTTGTCCTAATTCTGGGAAACTTTTCTAAAGCTACTTACTTTTTATTGCCATATCGTAGTGAGTAGGCTAAATAATACCGTACATTTAGGACGATGAAATAAGCAGTCATGAATCATGCCTTCTCTCCTATTTGACATTTGTTGAGAGCACATTTTGTGTAATCCACTTGTTTTGTTTATTTTACTGCAGGGGGGCAGTAAAGAGGAAGATTAAATGATGACCAGCTCTTTGCTCTCCAAAGCTCGGTATGGTGTGGGCCAGACACATAGAAAAGTAATTCTGGTAGATTAGATGACAAGAAGCATTCAGAATGCTGTGGAAAACAAGAATGCAGTTTAATTGTGCCCATGCATATCACAGAAAGCTTTGTGGAAAGGTAAGAGAGGCTGCTCAATGGCCATCCCAGCAGAAAGTTTAAATGGAAAGAAAACCTGATGACAAGATGTGACCGAAAATGGAAAATAAGGCTAGAAAAATGGCACTGCCCATTCCAGGGTGAAACAGGGGCCTGCATTGTCATCTTTTTTGGTGGATGAGGCGATTGTGATTCAGAGACATTCAGAGCCTTGCCCACAGATTTCAAAAGATGGTGGAGATTTTGTTTAGAGTCCAAGCTGTCAGCCTAAATGGTTGCACCTTTCTGTTCTCATAGGTTTCGATTTTGTTTTAGTCCTGTTCTTCCCTTTCTCTTACTCTTTCTTCATATAGCAAGTGTGAGTTGTGCATATCTGTCATCAGAAATGTTTTACTTTGTTTGAAGTAAGTGGGCTCTTTACATTGGAAATTGCTTGGTCTTTTTCCCATTGGAAATGTAGAGGGTGATAATTTATGTTGGTGTGGAATATAACATAGCATCATAGGGGCAGAATAGCTAGTGCTTGGTATGAGCTTTAGATTCAACCAATTGGGTTTTCATATACAAATTCTACCAGATACTACGTTATGTAATATTTGAAAGACTCAGATTCCTCATCTGAAAATAGGAATAAAGATACCTACCTGCTGTTAAGCAGATCAAATGAAATAAGATACATATACAAGTAGCACATATCCTAGCATATGGTGAGTGCTCAATAAATGGTTTGGTAACTATTATTATTAATGTTGACATTATAATATTTACATTATATTAATCACATTGAAGAACTAAGTGACACACAAATGGAGCTTCTCACAGAGCAAGTGAAATAATCTCCTTCAATATTTTCAAGCCATGAACTTTGTACCTACTTCCCATTAAGACTAACCATTTTGAACATTTTATGGTGCATCATAGGGTAACATGGGGCGTCATCACAATTGCGTCACAATGGCAGCACCCCTTGATGATTCATGGCATTCTGGAATATATGCATGAGAAGGAAATCAACCCTGTGTAAATGTGGGATTCTTTACATTCTGCATGCTAAGCTGAGATGAGGAGGAAAAATTTTAAGAAATTCAAGAAGAAAAGCAACTCTTCTTTACCCTGATAAATTGGTGGTTTCCTCACCAAGTGTAAGGTTAAGGGCAGCCCTACGGGCAAATGGTCCTAGCCAACCATTCCTTTTGGTGCCTAGTATCTGGATCCTGGTAATATGTTATATGTATAGTGGAAACAAACTCACTTTGACTCAGCTAAATGGTGTGCTATAGAACCAAAAGTATAATTATGTGTTTCTTCATATAATTGAGTTTTTACAGATAGTGCCAGGGTCTGAGTAAGTATTATATCATGGGCATTTTTATGAGTCAACACACGAACCCCTAAACTAAAATTAAGAAATTCTCTAGGGGCTGGCTTGGTGGCGTAGGGGTTAAGTTCGTGTGCTCAGCTTCAGCGGCCTAGGTTCGTGGATTCAGATCCCCAGCATGGACCTACACACAGCTCATCAAGCCATGCTGTGGTAGCATCCCACATACAAAATAGAGGAAGACTGGCACAGGTGTTAGCTCAGGGCCAATCTTCCTCACAAAAAAAAAAAAAGAAAGAAATTCTCTAATGTATAAGTAACATATTCTGTATTATTAACAGATGCATTAGCTCCATTTAGATGTCCATAATTTTCTACTTTTCACCTTGGAATGTATCCATGCTAAAGAATATACAATTTCTAGTTCCTTCGAAAAGACACCATAAATGACCTTGACTGTTGGGTGCCTTGACATACTAGTAAAATCAAATTACTTGCTGTTTATAGCATTAACATGATGGCTTTTGCAGAGCAAGGACTAGCAGATGGGACTGAAGGCAGTTGATGATTTGATGATGTGAAGGCAGTGATGATTTACAATGGAAGCTAAGTAAATGTCATATAAAATTAACTACATTTACACAAAAAGCTGAATCCTCTAGGTAGTTTGTTTTCTCATCAAATATGTCTTGAGAACTAGATACTCTCCTAGGCACTGTGAATATAACTTTGAATAAGTCATAATGTCCTTGTTTTTAAGGACCTTACTTTCTATCAAAGGGAAACACGTAATAAACAAGGAAACAATGCACAAAATAATCTTAGGTAGTGAGAAGTGCTAGAAAGGAAATAAAATATGGATATACAGGACTTGGGAGAGTGGAAGAAGATGATAAAAAGAAATACAAGATAGACCCTACACTTAAGTAGTTCACAATTTCTCTCTAGAGGAAACAGAAGGCAGGATAAAACAGAGAGGGTTATCCTATTGAACAATAATAACAGTGTAGAAGAGCAGAGATAGGCATGGACGGGAATGAGGGAGGGATAGAGATAGGCATAGACAAGAATGAGGGATGCTGGACAGACAGAGGCATTGAATTGGGCCTTAAAAATGTGGAGGATTCTAGGACATTGTAGAAGAATTCATTCCACTAATCATTTCTCAAATACCCTTCTTAGCACTGCCAGCTCTTAGCTAAAGGTCAGCTGATCAGAATCACCAGGGAACGTTTCCAAAATGTACCCTCCATTCTCCTCTCTTGATTCAAGTTTGGTGTGGGATCCAGGCCTGTGTATTTTTTTTTAAAAACTTTCAAGAAAATTCTGACGTGCATCTCTGATTAAGAACTACTCCACTGGGGGATACATGGATGAAAAAAATCAAGGTATCTTCAGAGAGATTATAAACTGGTGGGGCTGCACATTCATGTAGGTAGAATTTTTGTTGGAAATGTGAAGGATGGAGAAATGAATTTCAACAGGAAGCATGTAAGTGTGATGAAGACATTTATTTACCCTCTAAGAAACTCATGTTACAAACTGATTCAAATACTATGCCTTTAAATAGGGAACTGCTTTAGTGTAATAAAAATATGTCTGAATATATGAAAAAGAAGAAATCTACTTTGCATGTAGTTCTTCAGGAACCAATTTGTCACATAAGTGGAATCATATGAACACCAAATTCTTATGGATCCTCACTAACTCCATTCTGAATGTAAGGTCAGAAAACAGGGTGTCTGCAACACTGAATTAGGAAACATCAAATTTTAATATGCTATTAATTCCTTATGAAATTAGGATTTCAGGATAAGATTTGGAGTTTTATTGTTTCAGAAAAATAATATATTAAAGTCAGATGGTTGAAGTAGTCCGAGTCCTATGAAAGATTTTTACAGACTACCAATTATACTCATGAAATAATTATATCCTTGATATTTTTATTTGCAAAAAATAAAATATTGCACTTTGTATGTACTTAATCTTTCTTTAATGCATTTCTACTTTCCTTATTTTCTTGCATTTTATTTTACAATTTATCACTTCAGTTATGCATTTAATATCGTGTGATGACCACTTTTTCATAATTTCGGAAATCTTCCATTTGCCCTCTTGTTACTTAAAAATTGACAACATATGCACATCTCTAAGAATTAAATGATCGTATTATTAATGATCATATTTGATGTGTTTCTGTTATGAGTTTAGGTAGTCTCTTAAACATGCATGCATTTTTAGCAAAACGGGGCTACATTGTATATAGATTTTGTTGTATTTTCCCATGAACACAACAGGCTTCT